GCCTCTGCACTCATGGCCTTCCACAACTTGGCTGCCTCTTTCATCTTGTCTTTCGTTGGGAGAGCAGTAGCTTCGGGAGACTCTTTGTACCACACCTGGTAGGCATTCGGTGCACGCTTCGGTGCCATAGCAACTTCCACCACATCCGACTCCGGAGCTGCGTCAGCTGGCTGAGCTGACTCATGTCCAGTAGCCACGGCTTCGTAGTGCTTTCTGTCATCCTTGCTAAACTCTTGCCACAACCTGCTGGCCTCTGCCATGCAGCTTTTTGAGCCCTTCAACCCCTCAAGCTTGCCATCCTTCTTCAACATGATATAAAAGGCGGCAAATGCCTTCCCCATGGCAAAGGTCAGCTAAACAAACACAAGTGGAGCCCTGAGCGCTGCAACAAGAGTTGATAGGTACTACTTAGTCCTCCAAACAAGATGCGTCAGATTGACCACACTTTCAGGTTGATTTTGCTCCCCAACAACGTAATCCGCAAACCTTTAATCCGCAAAGCGGCTAAGGATTGAGGATTAGCTTTTGAAGCGCCCTAAATTAATAATGCAATGTACAGTAATACATATGTCTCTTACCCACCTTTCCACTCCCATTTTCACAAGAATGACCCCCCAAAAAATAAACACGAGGCGTATATGTCATTGGTGCATGATCGAACTGTTACAGGGTGCGGGCTGCCACAACTGACCAGTGGCATCCAGTTGCTGGCTGGCCACTGGGCCAGCACCGTGGGGCCATTCAAAAACAACACCACGCACATTCATTATGTTTTGCACAGTGCATGACTTGAGCAATCACACTATGATACCCCCTTGAAGGCTTCGAAGGAGGAAAAAAACTCAAACAAAACTCAACGTTGTGGGATGTTGTGGGTGTGAAACCAGGTCCACCAACTCTTTACTTACCTATCTAATCGCTGGTCAAGGCTCCACATGTGGACACCGCTGCCAGGCACGGAAGGGTCAGGGGCATCCATACCTGAGATCGGCGGTACCAGGTTACCAAGGCTTTCCAGTCCTTGCGATCGAACATGGTCTTCCACGGATGGGGCATCGATGGGGCCATTGTCCACTTCATACTTGTTGGAACGAGGGTCAGTCACGTGATCTATAAAACGAATTTTTACAAGAGATACCTCGGACGAGCTTGGGATGCACATCCGAGCATTAATTCCCAAACCACGCCAGTCCAAAACCACGTTCATCTATACAAGACTCCTTGATGTTTGAGACCACAATGATGGCAGGACTAGGCAGCGCTCCGCTGGAAAAAGCTGCTCTAAGATGCTGTAAGGGTAAGTCGACCGGATTTGCCGCGCAGGTCGGCCCACAGGGATTCAGACTCCATGAGGAGCACACCAACAATGACAACAAGGAGAAGGACGGAGCTCAACCACCAAAGGCAATATATTGGCTACTAATGGCTATTAGGCTATTAGGAATAACAATTTCTGCAAAAACGAGCCAGGGTGGGTTGAACCACCAGAGTTTGTGCTGAACAAAGTCACGCAGGATTTCGCAAAACAACGCGTACCCATTGGGCAACTGGCCCCCTACTTGCTTTAAACACATCGAAGGGTGCCCTTCTGGCCAGACCAAGTGGAGTCAGAATCCGGCAAGCTAGTGCCTCGGCTACCAAGGCCAACATGGGCAATCACGGTAACACATATTGAAGCCAAGAGTCAACGACCATAGCGGTTCTTCACCAACTTTCGTGTCCTGATGTGTGGAACCTCCTCTTGAGCTCCATGCTGTTCATTCTGTTGCTAATACCGCGAGCCCAGGGAACAAACACCCATACATGTTGGGAGCCGTTTCCGTATGTCATATGCAAAAACATTATCCAAGCCAAGGTATGTAAGTTCCGAATGTCAGAACCCAGGTGCACCAAGCAGCTCTGTCCAATCCCACATCTGATTTTTGTTGCTGGAATCCTCAGTAGCACATGAGTGACCCTTCCCCGGTCTTCGTCGAGCTGAGCCTACAAATATTGTCTTTCTGGCTCGCATGATCTGACGCCGATTCGGAAACTCCTCCAGAAACGGCAACACTATAGTGGTCTCCAAGTAGATAGAAATGGTTTCCAATACAATTTTGAGTGGGGAGTTACTTTTCTATTTATTTAGGGTCTATATAGATCCAATGCCCTGTAAATCCTTGTCTCTCTGATGCCTGCGAAGCTTCACAGTCCCACATATGGATGAGGCCGTCGTTGACATCTCTCGCAGAAGCCTGGAAGACGGACGGTCGTTCTGGGGGGGCAAATCCATCCGGCCCCACTCACCTAAAGAAACACACAGGAGATGTAAAGAAACTTGCGTAGACACTAGCACCTACAAGCCACCAGTACAGCAGGAAGGGGAAATCATAAAACTATATAATGTAATGTAATTTGACATATGTAGACTCTTCATTCATAAACCCCGAGCCTCACGAGGATTTCCAATTCCAATCGGGGGCTTACTAATCAGGAGTCTACGTTGAAACAATCAAACAAACATCATTGCCAGCGGACGCCCCAAAAACATCTGCAAACGGCCTTGCTCCTCCCAGTGACATCGACTCAAGGAACATGGCTTGTGCCCTTGCAAGGGCACCCCGCTATCCGCCGGTGGAGCCCAGAAACGTCGAGGCATTTGCCATGCAAGTGCTTGAAGAGCCCAGAGTCCTCGTTGTAGACCTCCATTCGCTGGACAACCCACTGTGGCTGCACCGGCCGAACACAGCTAGGACGAACCAAGGACGAACAGCGTGTCCGACGGCAGAGTACCAGAATTGCGTTTGAAATAGTCCGTCGTGTAGAAGGGCATGTTCGACCTACAAGGCCTTTCACAGTGTCTTGCAGCCTAGTGATCATGAAGCAAGAATCATACCAAATCAGGGACCACTCACCAAGCACAATCTTTCTCCAAACAAGAGCATACACCAAACCAGACCACCAATCAACTGGCCTTTCTGCACGCCCTAAACCGACGAAGGGGTATGCGAGATCCTTCGAGGAGGCCGTGCGTGCATTCCAAGCAGCCCACTTCTGCAAGTCTTTTTGCGAGTCACAGGGCTGCAAGCTTGGTCGAATGCCGTTGTGCGCTTCTGCTGACGCCTCGCCAGTTCTGGATGCTACTAGTAACAAGGGCATCGCTACAAACGGAGCAAGGACGCTACTTGTAGCTCCTGGCCTTACTACTAGGAACAAGGACGCTAGTAGTAACAAAGGGCATCGCTACTAGTAGGAACAAGAAGCTACTACAATGTCCCTTGGAATGCATGTATGTATATATATATATTATATAGGTTTATATACCACCACGCAGTCAACGAATTGGCCCCTACCCCGCCTCGAGGCAATTGCCTGCCACATGCTCCAAAAGCATCCAGTCCTTCCGGTGAAGCACCTGATGGCGGGCGGCAGGTTGCTGCACGGCCAATCCGAAATCCCCAAGGCTCAAGGCTGACAGGAGAGAAAGAAACAACTCGAAACAGGTGCCCGCAAAGGGTCGGTGCCCGATCGGAAGAGGACTGGCTAGCGGCTCTTAGAGCTCATCCTGCTCATCCGGCTCTTGGTTGTTGAATCAGTTGAGACCAATCAAAGCCCTGAAAAGGGAGGCTGATGTGATCTTATGTGACATCAATTCTTTGTGCGGGTTCGCCCAACGGTCATCAAACCGGTCCAAAACTGCTATGGACTGATCTCCTTCCCTCCCTCTGTCTCTCCCCAAATTGTCTGCCAGCCTCCCTCTCCATCTCTCTCCTCTCTGTGTAGCAAAGATTGACACACACACACACATACATATATATATATATTATATACACATAAATTTTCATGATGCATCTATTTACACACATTATATTATGATGTGCATGTGTGTGTGTGTCATATTGTGTGTCGCCTTCAAAGGCGACACTGCACCGGAAAAAGACACTCCGCGTCTTTAGGTTCTTTTTTGTTGTTGTTGGGCAACCTGGCAACATGCTGATGGCAAAAGTCCGTGAATTCCTTCGATCCGGCCAAGGGAGATAGACCCAACTGGCAGGACACAAAGTTGCATCATGCACCATCATATTAAATAAAGCACCAGGTCACCAGCACAACGTGTTGGGGTCCCACCTCCCGCGTCCGCAGCTGAAGTAGCGCCGGAGGCCGTGGTGCCGCACAGCCGGGACAGTATGCGCTGGCGTAGGCTCTGATGCTGAGCAGCCGGAGGACCAGGAAGAACGCCATTTTGGTCATTGGAGTGCACGAAAGCATGCTGGTGAATCCTCTGCGTCTAATGTCATGCAAACAACGTGAAACTGTTCGACCTGGTCAAAACTCCACATGGAATAGGCTCGAGACTGGATGCCAATTGCTGGACCACTGGGCGAAGGGAGATCTCAGCGGCTGTAAGTTGAAAGGAGGGATGTGCTCTTGAAAGTGCACATCCTCTCAACAGTAGTGTATGTAGCAGCAACATCTCATGGATCCAAATTTTTGAGCATTCACTTGTGCTTGCAGGATGCCTTTTGCTCCTCTCGGCTTTTCTTGATGCATTTGCAACGCTCCAAGTCTGAGCTGCTTGAACCATTTTTTCCGGGGTGCAAAGGACTTCAATATGGTGTTTTTGTATTGACCTAACAAACCACCTTGCCGAGGATATGTTCTTTTTCGGGATCACAGTTCACCGGTTTCTTGTATCAGAATGCTCGTAGACTATGTATCTGCTATTCTCTGCTTTACTCACAGTGGTCCGAACTCGCGTGGATGCCGACGTTCGCCGAACATGGTTCGTGTCGTTCGCTTAGGGTGACAGCAGTTCCACTCATCAGGACAGCAAACTGACACACGATATATGTGTGTGTGTGTCATACTGTGTGTCATCTAAAAATCGATGCACACTGTATACACAATTATATACACGCAGGCTAAATACGGTAATTACACATGAAAGACCATGAAAGATCTACATCTCTATCTACGTCTCATCAATTGTAGTAGTTGCAGTATATCTTATCCCTCAGGTCTTTTCCGCAGAGTGCGCCGGCGCACCAATCAGCCGCTTTGTTTGGCGGCCGAGTGCTCCCGGAAAAAATGAAAAGCCGAACTGCGGACTGCGCAGCACTGCGGAGAGTTCCGTCTAGGACTTCAAGGAATACTCCGGAAGGCCTCGCCGTGGCGTGGGGCTCGTGCGGTTTCCCGGTCACCGACCACCCCTTCTCACGAAGACCAAGCCAAGAAGAGGTCCGTTTGGGATTTTGATTGGCAGTGGCCAAAGAAGCAAGTCTCTTGGAATACTTGGATATTCTAAATGACCATTCGCACCTCAATAAGGACATGACATACGTTTTGTTAATATATGCAATTGAAGTAGTAGGATATACTACACCTGCTACTAAATGCTAGTCAAAACCACCGTGACCATCGTGATGGTGGCAACACGTTCGTCATCATTCGTGGCATCACTCGCCACGTTCCGTCACCACCCAAGGCGCGTTGCGGTGGCAAGTAGGTGCTTGGCCCTTCCAAGGGCCTAGGAGCAAGAACTTGTTGGGCTTCAAGGGATGAGAACAATTGCATGGCTTAGCCGAGCTTAGCCGCCGGTCGGAACGTTTCACAGGATGCTTAGCCAGAAAGTTTCACCCACCGACCTGTCTCGCTCGTCCAAATCAAAACAACACCTTGCAATTCCCGCAGGTCTTTGGTGACGAAAGACGCATGTCCCTCTCTCTCTGTGTTCAACATCGTCACGGATGTCTAAAGCCATGGACAAGAGCAACAAAATCAGCCTACCAGGCTGAAGTCTTAGTTGCTCCACGCGGTCCCACCGCACCTTTATTGGGGTTGTTCTGCTCGTTGCTTCTCTGAGGGTCGGGGTATGTCTTGGGATTCCATGGGAGTTCCGCGGGCCCTAGCTGGACGCTGGACAACCCTTGCCTCATGCTGGACAAAAACCGATTGGATGCCTTGGATGCGGGTTAGCATCTCTGGTTGTGGGAAGTGTGGCCGCAGCCAAGGTATCAGAAGAGGGTATGTTAAGCAGGAAGCTCCAGCGCATGGGGGGCATGGGTGATTAGCAAGTAGGAAAATCCGCAAACAGTGGAACGAATCTATATAGTCAGTAACCTGCCATGTACTGAGCTTGTCATGGCTTTTTCATTGATTAAATGTCCTGAAGCAAATCTGAAGGGCAAGCAAGTCCAAACCGGAAACGTTGTTCAGGGCTGAAGTGGAACACCGACAGCACCAAGTTCAAGAAGTTGCCAAAGTTTGCTAATCTTAGAGCCCAGCCGCCCCAGCCTTTGTATCCCGCTCGGGCCCGAGCCACTCCCTTGCAACCCCTCTGCAGCAAAGGGTCGTGCCAGCCACCACAAGCACGGCAAACATCAGCAGCAAAACGACCACCTTGATGTTTGTCTGTGGAGCTTGTCTGTTGAGTCAGCTTGCCATGGTATGATGCCTCCAATCTTGCACAGTGCTGCACCAAGGGGCTCGCAGTTTATCATGGTGTCACCCCAATAAAGATGACTACTGTACAGTATCCAATCGAACTGGCTCTCCTGAAAAGTGGTATGGACCCATTTACTGCCAATGGACTCATGTCTAAATGCAGGTTCACCAAGGTCTACCCACTGCCACCCGCCGGACCCCGAGATCGGCAATGCCACCCCTTTGAACGAGTCCAGAAAACACCACCGGCAGTGTACAGTGTATAAGTTGTATTTGTATACGTCTATCTGTATATGTAGTCTTGCTATGTGTTCATTCGCAGTCTGCACTTCGCCACTTGTGACTGCGATGTGGGACCTTCTTTGGCTTCAAACCGCGCCCGTTTTTCACACATCAAGCTGAGTCACCGTGGTGCCCACCACCAGCGCAAAATCCGGCCCATTCGCAGAGTCACGTGCGGCGCCCGATGGGTCCTGCGTCACGTCCACTGCGCCACCGGCACCCACGGAAGCCAAACTCTGCATGAGGATCGTTGTTCGGCCAGTTGAGGGTCGCATGGATGTGGATAAAAGTGAGTCTGAGAAAACCACCCAAGTGACGCCCCATATTGCCACCTACATCGTTCCAACTAAACGGCAAATATATTACTGTTCCCATGGCTTGTGTCTGGGGTGAACTGATGTGCCATCGGCACCTGCAGTCGCTCCAAGTCCGCCTCACGCGCGGCCTTCACTGCCTGGCGGGCAAAGCATCAGCGGGGACAGGTCCTGCCATGTCCTGCTTAGATCCCCCTGGCAAAATGACGGATGGCTGAGTAAAAAGACAAACACGGCAAAATAAGAATGGATGAGCATAAATAGTAGGATCAACAAAAGTTACATATGTATATGCAGTTATATACTATATATACAGTATTTTAAAAAGTATACAATTCACTTGGTTGGGCATCGCTCGTTGGAAGAGTATCCTTCTCATCGGCACCCGTCAACAGGATTTCCAGGGCTTTGGGGAGCAACCTCTGACAGTGGGACCCCGTGGTTCAGTGGTACGGTTCATAGGCTCGGTAGATCTCGGTAGGTACACCCATCATGCATCCTCATGCCTGATGGTCACCGCCCAAAAACATCGCAATGAACGGTCACATTCACATGAACATATATAGAAACCACCATAAACCAACACGGAATGTGACGACAAATATATGGCTCATGGGCGAACAAAGCCCGCACTGCACACCGACTCGTTCCAAAACTGGGCCCAGTCCCAGAACATCCAGTCCGAGCACATGGTGAGAGAAGAGCAATGGCCTCCAACCGAATAGCATTCAAAGGAGCCTAATTCTATAGCGATGGAAACAACGGCCAAGGGCTTAGCGGGTTAGCTCCCCCTAAGAGCAATGGCCTCCAACCTAATAGCAGCATGGCCTCCAAACCTACGAGCCATGAAATGCGAATTCGGCCTGGTCCCGCCATTCCTCGGGCATGGGACGCTCGCCCCACGGCCGCCGCGTCTGCCGCGCCAGGACGGCTTGCCTCGGAGCCGACCAAAAGCGATGGGTTTCTTGGAGACATGTCGGACTGAGGTGCTTCATGGTGCTTCTGAATTCAAGCTTTGCGAGTGCAGGTGGGAGGCCACTTTCGGTCCTAGATGGTTCTAGCAGCTCCTCTTTTGCGAAGCAACAAGAAGCGTCAAAACCATCCAAAGACCGGAACATCTCTCTTGAAGCAAAGCTGGAGACTTTGGAGTGTCCAAATGTTACTACCCTCCCACAACGACCCCATGGAACCTGAGAATTGACCGGCGGAAGACCATTTCCAAATACCAATTGGACCAAGCCAGTGGTTTTGGGGGTCCATGTTAATCTGCAGGGGAGTACATGTTAGTCATGTTTCAACGTAAGTTGGCTGGCAAAAAGGGTGTTACAAATGTGGTTCGAATGTTGCGCTTTAGGATCTTTAGGAGGCGCATCAGTTTCTGGCGGGGTTTTATGTTGTCATTCACCAGGTTAGACTAATTGCTCAAATTATTACTCTACTATACTCTACTAAATCGAATGCGTTGCTCAAAATCTGGTAGTTACAGTGGCTTCTCGATTCTTGACCACATGCACACCATAGAAAGTTAGGGTCATGACACTTGCAAAAGGGATTCAATGGGGATCCCTGCGACGCTTCAGGTAAGTTTTGAGCTGTGGAGTGTGGACCCAGTCCTGTGAAACACCGAACGCATCCGCTGTGGAATAGTATATAACTGATTGATTGTAACGATTCGATTTCTGCTAGATTCTCCAACACATGGTTTTGGCAGTTCATGTGGGCTCCCTACTTGTTTGAATCGAATCCCAACATCATCCACTCTCTGAGAGAACTCAGCAGGTCTCAGCATCGACCAAGTTCCCTTCGTCCGCAACCCAAAAAGAGACGCTAAGGGGCGCCAGCTCCACTCTCATCTCTGCAGCCTCAGGCAGTTTGGCACACGCCGACTCCCCTGACGTCCGCAGGCTGCCTGGCCCACCTGAAAAACCTGGTCAGGTGGTAGAAGGAGCCCGTGCAGGAGCCAAGACACCCGACCTGTTTGGGGGGGTTGTTTTAGGGGGCCGTGGGCTGCCGTGGCAAGTCTGAATCAATTGCAGCGGTCCTTGGATTGCACCCAGATTCTTTATGTAAATTTCCCACCAGCCACCTCGGAGGCTTTATGTTCACGACCTAGGATTTGGGTCAAGTTGCCCTCAGCTCAACCAGCATCTGTCTTCAGTTCGTGGAAGGGTCTAAGAACCACAGGCAAGAATCGAAAGGCAGCTCCTGTGCAAATCAGGGGAGTTGACCCCTTTTGCCTTTAAATTCACTGCGGACAAAAGAAACTACTCGCCCTCTAGGCCTAGAAAATTAAGCATAGACTCCCATTCCATTCAGCAAGAACAGCGACCGGACCTCCCTCCTCCTCCTCCTCGATCCTTGATCCCGGTTGGACCAAATTCATCAAATGGTTGTCCAACCTCCTTTTCCTCTTAAAAGAGTATCGAGGACAGGCAAACAAAACAATGGACGAGCCAGGGTGGAGTCGAACCACCAGAGTTTGTGCTGAACAAAGCGATCATTCGCTTCGCAAGAGAACGCCATACCTATTAGGCAACTGGCTCCTGACTATTTTCTTTTGCAATTTGGCATGACGTAGTCTGAATGGCCTGCGGGGCTGCTCTTGAGTCTTGAGATTTGGCTCTGCATGAAGGCGCTTATTGGGCCCCCTTTTTCTAACCCAAATCTCCCGAAATCCTCCACTGCTTCAGAATTCCCGCCTCCTCTTCGCTGTAGCCCAGGTCCATGAGCTGTACACGCTCCTCCGCGTTCAGCATCAGCTTCACCGAGCTGGATCCTGCGAAGCGCTGCGGGTGAAGCGTGCCCGCATGGACTGGCCAGGTGCCCCATGAAAACACCCCAGTCTACGGATGTATCAGCAAAGGTGTAGGGATGTGTAGCCAATAGTGAATGAATGATTATGGTGCCAGTCTGTACCGGTATACTAGTCCTACACTCTGACTGGCAAGGCCCCAAGGGTCATCCCATTCAGTCTGAGTCCGCAAATGAGTCCACAAATGTATGCCATCCTCCTCACCTGACAAATGAGATTGAAAACGCCAAAAAAGATACATGCTGCAGAAAACATCGTGCAATTGGTTCTACAAGCCTTGAGCCCGTTGCCGTTGATCGTTGCAAAAGGGGAGAAAAAACAACCAACTCACTACTATTACTATCCTTCCATCAACTCACCATCATTCACCATCCTACCATGGTGTGTCGCCCCTCGCCACTCTTCACCATCTGCTCGTCCCGCCTTCCTCTGCTCTGAGGCCGAGGCCTGCGAAGCCTGCGGCCCCGCGGGGTCGCAGGAATCTTCCAGTGCCCCGGGCGAAAGCACCTGGACTGTGGCTCGAAACGGGGTCGGTGGCCTAGTTGATAAGTGCATCACGAATTCATCAATTCTTCCAGTGAGGCTCCGAAGATGGAAAGAGAACTGGATTCACTCTCCGGTATGTTCCAAGCTGTTGACCGAAAGGGCCCCCTCAGTCATCTTCGTCCATGCTGCATTTGCGGAGTTGGGCCTCATCCACTCCCATAGCAGGTTGTGCCAAGAACTGGTGATGCATTATTCGGGCCAAGCATGGCTGGGAAAAAAAGGTATAGGTATATATCTAGAAACGCCCTGGCACCCGCAGTCCGGTGAAATCGAACCCCTCATAGCTAAGTGCCATTTTGGTGGCGTCAGACTGAAGCAAAGGTCCCAGCGGTGGACACACCAAACTCTCCCTTCCAGGCACGCCTGGCCAGCAGCGGACGGCCAACCTCGGCGGAAATCCATCCGAATCCATCTATCTGCTTCGAGGCTCTGCCCCTGGCCGCCTGACACCCCCCCTGGCCCTAGCTGAAAAACAGGGCCGGGTCCGAAGGCTCCCATCTGTGCGATCGACCGGGGTGTCGGTTCACCCGTGGTGCGCGATCTTGGTCCGGCAGGACGACTGGTTCAGTTCATGATCCCTCAGAACATGAAGAGAGGTGTTCTCATTGCTCCGTCTTGGTTTCCCTGACTCCCCCCGTCTTGAAACGAGCAGCAAGGCCCAAGCGCAAAGCAGCAGCCCCGTTCTTGGCTTCGCCATGGCTGCTACAGCTGGGTGGATTCCAGAAACCTGGTTTCCCACAGCTGGCTCGTGCCTGGATAGATATTGCATTCGTGGGGCCTAGTACTGATGCACCCGCATGCCTCTCCCCCACAGCACATGTCTACACAACATTGTGAACGGAATTCCTCGGTCTTGAACAAATTGTCAAAATGATATGCAAATTTATACAGCAGCCTTATGGATATAAATGATATAGAAACCTCTGTAACTACCTCTGTATGGGACAACGTTTGAGGTTGCTTTCTTGATTCTGATAATTAATCTCGAGTTGGGTGGCCTACCTGGTTGGACAATAGGAACAAGAACTATCTTGAGCCGCTCGCCCCGCATGCGGCCAAGTGACACTATAGAAGCAAAGGATGCGCGATGCACTTGTACGTGGTTTTCAATCTCCAGTTGCGCTCACCCCCCCACCATTGGAGCTTGAGAAGCATGGCGGGCCCCTCTCCGCACAACAGGGTGATGAGGCCACTTATCCCACCCAGAGTCCTCCAAATTGCTTTTGAAGTTCATGTTGCTCCACAGGTGGAGGCTGCGGCCGCAGCCGCAGCTGGGGTTCTCCAACCTTTCTTGGCTCAGTGCACCACACAGCACGAAACAATAGCCTGGGTCACAATGAGTTCTTCACTCGGTTGAGGAGGGTCAAGGTCAAATTCCCCCAAATCACGCGCCCACTCTAGCATGGTCCTACTCAACTCCCCCAAGAAACTTAAAGGATGCAGCATTCCGCATTCCTTCAAAAACTCTCGAGATGCCACTCAATCTGAAGGTAAAAAATGATCCTGGTTCTTGGAAGTTTGGACGTTTGCTCTAGACATGATATGACATACTGTAATTCTACTCCCTCCAAATTGGCCATCCTGGCCATCAGAGCTGCTTGGCGTACGCTCGGCGTCCCCGGCTCCGAGATGCTCTTGCAACAGCGGCGGTGGGTGACACATCGACCGCCTCGGTGTGGTCTACGCGAAACGACGAACACATGGAAGTGGAACCCCCCTGGTTCGTATGGTTCGTAAAGGAAGGAAAGTCCTCTTCGGACCATGTTCATCAATTTTCCATGTGATGTCAGAGTGCACAAAAGTAAAGAAATGCCCGGCCTTCACCGGCCCAAACCGGATGGGAAGTGATCCCATATATGATCTCATCTCCCGGTTCAGTGGCATCCATCACAAAACGTCAGCTGGCGCCCGGACGGATAGGGCAGCCCTTCGTAGAGCCAAAAGCCTCCATCCACCTGTCGACTTGGAACGGACGAAGCTTGCAAAGGAAGAATTACAGTATATGCATTCTATACCAATCATGTCCATGTAAAAGCACTATACCAGGACCTTCCAACAGGTCACCACCTGCGACTTTTAAGTCTCCAAAAGCCACCATTTCGGAGACCTGTGAAGTCGGGTGCTGGTATACAAAAACACTGAAATGGGCAACAATAGGCCGCGTCTTCCTAGGCACGTGCGGTCCCATATAATGGCCAACTACCGGTGACCCGGTGCACTTGGGAAGTGAAACACGCATCCCCAGGCCACACCCCTCCGCACAGCCCATCAGACGATGAACATGGGGTGATCAAATGGATGTCTGGGAAGCTTAGCAGGGGGAAAAAACACAATGATCCGGTCTCAGTCGAATATAACTATTCTATAGTCTTTTTGAGCACCAAGAACCAGCAACGAGGTCTCATCCTTCTCTTGTTGAAGACCCTGTTTGTCAGAACCTTGGCACGGACCTTAAATTGACAACACTCTCACTCGACTGCTGGGAATGGTCCACGACTATCCCAAGCGCTGGCGCTAAACCTCTCGCATCCTCTCGCCACCTGCGTTCTTGGGCACGCCTGCCCGTCGACGCACACGCCACCGGACATTTGCGCAAAGACCTGAGCTCTGCGTCGGTCTCGGGGGAAACAGCGGCAGCCGCTGAAACGGACCAGCGCCATGGGAGAGCAGGTTGGAACCGCTGAAGCCCAACAAATGTCTATAGTAACAAACGGCATCGCTACGAACTGAGCAAGAAGCTACTAGTAACAAGGGCATCGCTAGTAGTAGTAGTAGTAGTAGTAGTAGTAGTAGTAGTAGTAGTAGTA